GTTTCGGGGAAGGTGGCCAGCCCTGGCACGCTCTGCCCGGCGCTCAGCACCTCGGGGCAGGAAGGGGAAGTGAAACTGAGATGTCAGCAGTCTGGGCTCTGCGGTGGATCAGCGCTTTGCTGTCTGTGTGTAAATAATAACGTGAGAAATCTGTCTGGTGGAGGGGAGTAAGAAGATCTGGGTGATCTGCAGGCGGGCGGAAGAGTGTTTCCTTGAGAGAGCGTCCTCCCTGTGAAACCGCGCTGGAGGGCTCTGCGCAGGGGGGCCATCGGGGCCGAGGCTGCCGAGGGAGGGGCTGGATAGCGGACTGGCGGACTTCCTCTCGTCTGCAGCCCTGCACGCCTCCCCGTCTTCCTGCGCCCCTCTCGGGACACGGCGCCGGCTCAGCGGCCGGGCCGAGTGTGGGAGCCTGCAGAGGCGGCTGGAGGCGGTTTAGGGGGTCGCGGCCTGGGCCTCGTGCTCTCCTCTAGTCTGCAGCCGGAGGGATGGAGGGAGGCTGACCTCTGACCCTGCTGTGCTCTGTGCCCTCTGTGCTCTATTGCAGGCTGTGCAGAAGGGCCTGATCAAGTGCAGATTTGCTGGAGTTGCTCTTGGAGACTCGTGGATTTCTCCTCTAGGTGCGTCGACGTCTGTGCTGTACTGCTGTGTTCTGTACTGCTCCTCAAGAGGCTCTGAGCTCAAAGGAGCACCAGTGTCCATTTACCAGTGGGATCGGTGTATAATTGACTGCAGAATTTTAGCAGCGGTCTGCTCCTCTCCTCTCAGCGCAACGATGCAGAAAGAACGAGGAAGGGCTGTTAGGAAAGGCATGAGGAGGTGAACACATTTTCTTGTAGCCCAATGGGACAAAACATGGGCAAACCATGTAGCCCACATTCCTGGGGTCCTGCAGGATGAAACTGCTTGAGGTTGAGGGTCCGGTTAGCAAACTGGCAGCCGAGAGAGCTGAGCTGGACTGAGTGGCCAGCCAAGCTCCCCGTCTGCAACTTGACGCTGGTGCGAAAGGGATTCGGGCTCTTCTGGGCTTGTCTGGGCTCGTCTAGAATGAAGTGCTAAAACAAGTCCACATGTATCTCTCCTGGAAATGTGGTGAAATGAAAAAAACTGTTGTTTTTTCTCTTTAGATTCGGTTCTGTCCTGGGGGCCCTACCTGTACAGCACAGTGAGTAAGAGTGCAGCGCTGTCTGGTGTGACCCGTACACACGCTGATCTCTCAGCCCAGTGTGACTGCACAGCGCCGGTGCTTAATCTGGGTGATGGAAATTGATGGTGTTTCTGATGCTACATTACCTCCGATAACATTTTGTCTGCTCTTGTAGACCATAATACACCTGCCGTCTCACCAGGATTGCAACTTTAAAAAGTGTGTTGTCTGAAGTATGGGGAGAATGCTCATTACATCACTTTTAAAGCATTAAAAGTTCAGCCAAGCAGGCTGCTCCGGTGTTGGTTAAAGTCTTAGATTACGGATTCTCCTTAGTCCACAGGGTAGTGGGAAGAGGGATTGCTCCGGGGGGCTCAGAGTCTCCTGTCTAGAGCTGTGTGACGGGTTCTCACCCTTTCCCATGACCCCCCAGTCCCTGCTGGACGACCGCGGGCTGGAGGAGGTCAACGCAGCAGCGATGGCGGTGAAGCAGGCGATGGAGCAGGGAGATTTCCAGAAGGCCACCGAGCTCTGGTCCAACACTGAGACCGTGGTGGAGCAGGTGAGCCCTCACTGCACGGCACTCTGGGAGCAGGGGGGCGGGCCGTGCTCACACGGCACTCTGGGAGCAGGGG